ACAAGCGCCGCAGTGGCTCTGTAAGGTCTGCTCAGCGTACGCGGGTCCTGGCGTCCGCAGCTTCGAAACGAGCTATTTTTGCGCGACGTGCTCAAGAGTGTAGAAGGGGCGCGTTACTCTATGCAATAAGGCTCGCCGACTAGACCACGGTAGCGCTCTCACCTGCAACGAAGTATGGCACCAGAGCTGGCGCAACGGCATGGCTATTCCTGCTGAGATGCAGCACAAAATCCGGTTTGTAGAGAAGCGTAGACGCGAGGTCTGTAGCGAGAGTGAAGAAGACTAATGAATGGCACTTGGGAATGATGTTCACATTTTGTTGTGTTGTCGTTTGGGTAATGCCCAACGGTTTTGCAGGGAGATCGCAATTGACAGTAATTAGGACGATTCTGGCTGGTATCACAGCCACTGAAGCAGGTAAGGCTAATTACCTCTTGATGCACAAGCACGCCTCTTGAATCAATCCCTCGACATCATTTCTCAATTTACCACCTCAAACAACAACAAAAACAACATGCTCGACTCGCAGCCGCTGTCTCCTCTCCTGGCCACCGTCTTCGCTCTACTTCTTGTCCTGTGGAAGATTACCACCAAGCCATCGCCCCACACGAACGGCCAGAAGCTGTTTCGACCGACATCCACTCTTCCATTCCTCGGTAATACCCTCGACCTGCTCTGGTTCCAGCGGGACCAACTGCACGACTGGATGACAGAGCAGAGCCTCGCCAGTGGTGGTAAACCGTGGCTTCTAACAGGCATCGGCCAGCTGCCCAAGATCGTCGTGACTGCCGCTGCCGCCTACGAAGACGTGTTTAAAACACAGTTTGACGTGTTCGTACGCGGTCCGGGTGAGACGGTGTTGGAAGTCTTGGGCGAGGGCATCTTCAACGTGGACGGTGACAAGTGGAAGCACCAGCGTCGCGTCACGAGCCACCTCTTCTCCATGCACATGCTCAAGGACTGTATGAACGCCGTAGTTCGTGAGAAGACCGTCAAGCTTCGTGATGTACTCGCCATGTGTGCTGAACGAGGAGACTCCGTGAGTATGAAGTCGCTGCTCAACAAATACACTGCCGACACGTTCACGCGCATCGGCTTCGGCGTGGAACTCAACGGCCTTGACGAGCCTGTGGACGTCGATACGACGCAGCCATTGGACGCTGCTCTTCGGGTAGTGCAGACTCGACTTCAGAGTCCTGTGTGGCTCTGGAAACTCCGTCGGTTCTTCAGTATCCGGCCGCTAACGGGTGGTGCATGAGAGCATGCAGAAGGTTCACGATACCGTTAAGCAGATCATTGGCCAAGTCTCTAGAAGACAAGAGCAAACTCGCGACGTCTGATACGCCACACAAGGATCTGATGACACTCATGCTGCAGTCTGGAGACTTCACGGACGCCCGTGAGATCCGCGACGTCGCTGTCAACTTCTACGCGGCGGGTAAAGACACCACCGCCTTCAGTCTGTCGTGGTTCATCGTCATGATGAATCGACACCCTCTTGTTCTCTGTAA